CCATGAAGTTCTTTGAGAGAAGTCTAAACAAGGGATTCTGAGATGTGAAGATGGGACCCATCCCTGGAAGTTCAGGGATTCAGAGAAGCCTTCTTAAAGGAGACAGCACCTGAATAATGTCACATATAATAGCAGCTAAAACTGGAAGAATGTCATAGGCAAAAAGATGAGCAAAGGCGGAAAGGCATCTAATATGACGTTTGCATGGGAAGAAAAGGCAGGGGCTAACTCAGTGTTCCTAGCGCATAACATTGGAGGCAGTGGGGAAAGGTGAAAGAAATAAGTAAGGAACAGCTCATGGGGATCCGCCGGGCGGTGCAGGGAGCATGGACTTTATGCTCCAGGTAGATATTAAGATACCATTGAAAGACTCTAGGTAGGAAGTCCACGGTCTGACAAACATAGCTTATTTTTTTCAGTGACCTTAATCCATTATAGGAAAAATAAGACCATATCAAATCTCCCAGTTGTCTTTTCTCATAGTTTTTCCTAAAGTGATATTCATTTACCAAAGTTTTTGTGTCTCAACATCTTACCGTATCATTCAAATGATACGATATTCCCAGGAAAGAAGTATATTAGACTTGCCAATCTAATTTTTTCTTTCTATTTGGCAGAATATTACAGAATCTGGATGCAAAGAATGTGAGGAACTGGNCCATGAAGTTCTTTGAGAGAAGTCTAAACAAGGGATTCTGAGATGTGAAGATGGGACCCATACCTGGAAGCTCAGGGGTTCAGAGAAGCCTTCCTAAAGGAGACAGCACCTGAATAATGTCACGTATAATAGCAGCTAAAACTGGAAGAATGTCATAGGCAAAAAGATGAGCAAAGGTGGAAAGGCATCTAATATCATGACGTTTGCATGGGAAGAAAAGGCAGGGGCTAACTCAGTGTTCCTAGCGCATAACATTGGAGGCAGTGGGGAAAGGTGAAAGAAATAAGTAAGGAACAGCTCATGGGGATCCTCCGGGCAGTGCAGGGAGCATGGACTTTATGCTCCAGGTAGATATTAAGATACCATTGAAAGACTCTAGGTAGGAAGTCCGTGGTCTGACAAACATAGCTTACTTTTTTCAGTGACCTTAATCCATTATAGGAAAAATAAGACCATATCAAATCTCCCAGTTGTCTTTTCTCATAGTTTTTCCTAAAGTGATATTCATTTACCAAAGTTTTTGTGTCTCAACATCTTACCATATCATTCAAATGATACGATATTCCCAGGAAAGAAGTATATTAGACTTGTCAATCTAATTTTTTTCTTTCTATTTGGCAGAATATTACAGAATCTGGATGCAAAGAATGTGAGGAACTGGAAGAAAAAAATATTAAAGAATTTTTGCAGAGTTTTGTGCATATTGTACAGATGTTCATCAACCCCTCTTGATTGCAATTGATCCTCTTCAGCGTTTCTATTATTAACAAACATTTTCCCACTGCTTAGAGGCAACAAAACACTCTGCAGTTGAAATCTGCTGCCAAAACAAGTTTCTGTAGCAAGAAGATGATCAAGATTTTGGATCAGATGAACTCTTAAAAATAGAGGAAGAAAAATGTCATTGAGTAACATAGTGACTGTGAACTTCCTTCAGACTTATTTTGCTCATTTATTTTTAATTTATTATTGAAATTGTACATATTTGTAACATAATGTATAAAATGTTGAATAAAATTATGTATGTTCTATCATTTGATATTGCACCTTATTTGATATTTTATGTCTTACAGGAAAAAGGGGGCATTTGAGGGTGATAGTCAAATTATGTATGAAGTAGTGGGGCTAGGCACCAATGCTGCAAGTCAGAACTATGCTGCCAGTGTGCAACCACGAACTACCAGCTCCCACTTCTTCACTGGTTGTGGCACCCAGACGAAGAATCGGCTACCAATGAGAAAAAGAGGAACTATGTATGAACCCTGTGCTTTACTTGCAATTTAGTTATTTATATATAAAGCACCTACTGTAAAAAAAAGAAATCGCAATACCTGGCATATAATGTGCATCAGTAAATCTTAGGTGGTGGTGGCAATAGCAAACTTTTACTAATAGGTAGAATGGCCGTATAAACTATACATAAAGAACATGATACAGTACATAACTGTTGTAATGATGTTTATATTTTATGCTTTCCCAAGGATGGGTATTTTTTTTTACATTCTTTTTGCCATGTTTGTAGAAATTTTAAAAACTGCTGATTTGTTGGAGCCAACGTTATTGGTCAGAAAATAATTGTTTATCATTTTTTTTCCAGTATATGGTCTAAAATTATCAGTTTCTCTTCTAATGGAACTATGAGTAAAATGAAATGTATTGCCTCGTTTCAAATTTCTTTCATCCTAATCACTTCTGGCAGTCTTCATGGAGAGACTATAGGGTAGGAAAAGATTTTGTAAGAATTCTATTTTTCTCCATTCCACAGTTGGTGATCTGTTGAAACATTCTTTTATCACCCAGTGCCCCATTCATTCCCATGTATCTCATTCCTCTAGCTAAATAGTGTTTATGGATATCTTTTAAAGTAATTTTGAAGATATCTGTACCCTATTTGACTTTCCAGGAGTCACATGTTGACTGTCAGCTTGTTTTCTAATCTCAGCCCAAACAAATAGTATTTGGCACACTCTTTAAAGTTTATAGGTTGGTATTGGGGCAGTTTTTGTTTGTTTGTGTTTTAAATTTTATTTAAGATGGGATTTTTTTTTTAGTCTGCCTTTTTTTTTTTATTTGGTTTTTCTAGCTATTTCATTAATAGAGAGTAGGAAAAATGCACCATTTTTAACTCTAGGTTTCCAATCCAATTCTTAGACAAAAGTTAGTCTCCCTCCAGTGTTTCTTGGGATGAGGGAAGGAAAATCATGATGCCCGTCACATTACCAATAATATTTTATAATGACCAACAGTCCATTTTGGTTTTATAAGTACACAAATAGGTTTAAAATTTGGAATTTTCCAGGCCTAAAAGATAGAATTCTTCTCATATTAGTTATTTAATATGGATCACTTAAATTAATCTATAAAATCTCTAGGCATAGATCTGCAACTTCTTAAAACACTCTTACGAACAGTCCATTTTGGTTTTATAAGTACACAAATAGGTTTAAAATTTGGAATTTTCCAGGCCTGAAAGTTAGAATTCTTCTCATATTAGTTATTTAATATGGATCACTTAAATTGATCTATAAAATCTCTAGGCATAGATCTGCAACTTCTTAAAACACTCTTACTTAACTTAAGAAAAATGTACCCGTGAAACAATCTAAATTTTATTTTCATGCTTGTACTCTTAACAAAATCAGGCTTTTGTGTTTCAAAATCTGCCCTTGAACTGTCCTCCTTAATTAACCAGCCCAGTGTTATTTGTCTAGAGAAGACTGTGTTTATGTTTCACCTACTACCCTAAATGTGGAAAATATTTGCTATACACAGTCAGCCCTCTGTATCCATGGGTTCCACATCTGCCAGTTCAACCATCACAGACTGAAAATATTCAGGGACAATAGTAAATAAATAAAAAAATAATGATTAAAAAATGATGCAAAAAAATATAGTATAACAACTTTTTACATAACATTTACATTGCATTAGGTATTATTAGTAATCTAGAGATTATTTAATGAACATGAGAGGATATATGTAGGTTATATGCAAATACTATATTATTTTATATCAGGGACTTGAGCATCCTGGATTTTGGTATCTGAGGAGGTCCGTGGATACCAAGGGAGGGTTGTGCTACATGTAGTAAAGAAAGCATAAAATCATATGCTTAGAACCTCAAATAGTAAAGATAAGCCTAATAAGTAGATTTACAGTCCAAAGTCTTGCCTTTTTAAAATTTCAGGTAAGAAACAGATGTATGAGAGAATATTATCTCTACACTCTCCCTGGCAATAAACCAAAAAGACGAGAAGGCAGAGGACATGGAAATACAAACAGAACCAATACATAATTTGTGAGCCCAGAGAATTTCAAAACACAATCACAAGCCTAGTTTTATATATTCTCATTCTTTAAAAGAGTGAATCATAGAATTATTTTGTTTTGCTGCTCTTATAAAATGGGCTTGTATGTGTTGATATGTTACTGTCTATGGCCATCAAATGTATTAACTCATAATGTCAAACCGATATATACAATATGAAAATCAAGTAATGTGATTGCTCCCTCTCTTCTCCCCCCACCCAACAAAAAAATATACTAGAGAATACATTTTTGTTCCTTTATCTGTGTTATATCAGGCTTATTGTAAGCTCATAGTCTCAGCCCCCATGAAATTTACATTTCAGCAGGAGAGTCATACTATATCAAACCAATCACCCCAGTGCTTATTCAGTTACCATTGATTCTATGAAGGGCAGCAGAACAGATTATTCTTAAATGGAGGATCTGATTCATTCAAGGTGTCAGAGAGAGCTTCTTTGAAAATATAATACCTGAGCTCAGCTCTGAATTGTTAGTAGGAATTACCTGAGAGGAAGTAGACTCAATCAGAGAAATAGCCTGACAAAACCTTTAGTCAAGAAGGATTGTGGAATGTTCACAGAGCAGGAGAAAGGCAAGAATGGCTAGGCTGAGGAAAAGGACTGAAAGAGGAAGCTGGTAAGGTAAGTATCAACTAGTTTCATAGGCTCTAGTAAGGATTTTGTTGTGTGCCCCAAAAGAAACAGGACTCTTACAATGACATGCACTAAAAAAAAAAAAAAAAAGTATCCTTTCTACTCTAAAGAGAAAAGGTGAAGTCAAAATTCAAAATTTCCTTACCACTAAATCCCAAGTTAATAAAATAGCTTCTAATAACATAATCTTACCATGGGCCTTATCATTGCAGTCATTTAATGAATTCCTTGTAACACTTAATGGAGATCAACTTCAGCAACTAATTACCTTCTCACTGTCAAAAACAAACCTGTTTAGAGTATATATGATTTGAGAGGCAGGAATCATGAGGGGTAACATATAAATCTAGCACTGGGTTATAAGGACAGTGAGAATTGATCTGTGGTCGAAATCTTAACACAGGGAAGGCTTCTTGAAAGTAAGACTTTCTAAACCATTTTTCAGTGAGAACTGTTCCGTTGTTTAAATCGACAGATAAAATTGCATGTATTCATCATGTGCAATATGACATTCTGGAACAGATGGGAATATATATGTTGTGGAATGTCCAAATCTAGCCAACCCACATATGTATTACCTCACATAGTTGTTATTTTTGTGGTGAAGACACTTAAAATCTATTATCTTAGCATTTTTCAAGAATAAATCCTGTGGTTATTAACTATAGTCACCATATGGTACAATATATCTCTTGAACTTATTTCTCCTCTCTAATAGAAATTTTCCAGCCTTTGACCAATATCTCCCTAACTTTCTCTGCCACCACTGCCCCAGCCCCTGGTAAGCAGTGTTCTACTCACTACTTCTATGAGATCAACTTTTTTAGATTCCACATATGAGTAAGGACATGTAGTATTTGTCTTTCTGCACCTTGCTTATTTCACTTAGCATGATGTTCTCCAAGTTTATCCATGTTGCCACAAATAACAGGATTTCCTAACTTTTTATGGCTGAATAGTATTCCATTGTGTATATATACCACAGTTTCTTTATCCATCTATCTGTTGCTGAACACTTAGGTTGATTCCATAGGTTGGCTATTGTGAATAATGCTGCAGTAAAGATGGGAGTGCAGATATCACTTCAACATACTAATTTCATTTCCTTTATTCCTTTAAATACCCAGTAATGGGATTGCAGAATCTATGGTAATTTTATTTTAAATTTTTTCAGAAAGCTCCATACTGTTTTCCTCAATGGTTATATTAATTTACATTCCCACCAATAGTGTGCAGAGCTTCCCTTTTGTTCTCATCCTCACCAACATTTGAAATCTTTTGTCTTTTTGATAATAGCCATTCTAACAGGTATGAGGTGGTTTTAATTTGCATTTCCCTGATGACTAGCGATGTTGAACATTTTTTCATATACCTGTTGGCCATTTGTATTTATTTTATTGAGAAATATCTATTCAGTTCCTTTGCCCATTTTTTAACCATGGTATTTGTTTTCTTGATATTGAGTTGTTTGAGTTTCTCATATATTTTGGATATTAACCCCAGATATATGGTTTATCAGATATGTGGTTTGCAAATATTTTATTCCATTCTGCAGGGATAAAATATTTGTCTCTTCACTCTGTTTGTTTCCTTTGCTGTGCAGAAGCTTTTTGGTTTGATGTAATCCCATTTGTCTATTTTTGCTTTAGTTGCCTGTGCTTTTGGCAAGGCAAAAATCATTGCTCTGACCAATTTCATTGAGCTTTTTCCTTATGCTTTCTCCTAATAGTTTTACAGTTTCAGATCTTACATTGAAGTTTTTAATTCATTTTCAGTTGATTTTTTGTATATGGCATGATATAGGATATACTTTTATTCTTCTGCCTGTGGATAGTTTTCCCAGCACCCTTTATTGAAGAGCTTGTCCTTTCCCCAGTATGTGTTTTTGGCAACTTTATCAAAAATTGGTTGGCTGTAAATGGGCAAATTCATTTCTGGGCTCTTTTTTCTGTTCTATTGCTCTTTGTTTCTGTTTTTATGCCAGTACCATGCTGTTGTGGTGACTATAGCTTTGTAGTACATTTTGAAGTCAGATAGTGTGATG